GGAGGACCTCCACCAGGGAGCACCGAGTGCAGCCCTGCCCATTGCGCACCCTCCCCTCACCAGACCAGTGCAGACACTCTCTACACCCCGAGCTCTGCACTGCAGCCTCCCCTCTCATCGGCTCTGTCTGGGTGCCTACACCGGCCAATGCCGGGGCAGCCAGAGCAGAGCTCCCGGACCGGGCCCTGCTCATACGACGAGTGCTCGCCATCCCGCTCGCCTGCCCGCGCAAACTGCCTCCACCCGCTCTGGGGGCTCACGCCCCTGGTTCATCGCTCGCGCTCCCTGGGGCAGGTTTTTACCCCGTCAGGGCTGGTGCAGCTCCTCCTGGCTCCGCCCGCTGTGAGTCAGCTGCTCGCTCTCGTCAGCTGAGCTGCCGGCTCCTGGGCAGGTCCTGTCGAGGACTTGAGGCTCCCTCGGTGGCTCTTGCTGCTCTGAGTTGAGGCTCTTCGACGCTGATCTCCTCCCCCAGCTCCGGTGTTGAAGGCATCCTCTCTCGAGCTACGCACCTCAGCAGTTGTCTTCTTCCTACCATAAGTGTCTTCATTTCCTGGTCCTGGTGTCCTGATGCCTGGTTCTGATGAATGGGGACGTAACAGTCTTATTTCTTTCTTGCTCTCATAACTGCAGAGGCTAGGACATGTTTCAGATACATTCTTCCCCAGTTTCAAAGTCTAGAGATTTTGAACAGTACCAGAACAATTCGATGTGTTCCTGATTTTCTGTGTTGGTATTTTATGCTTAGGATGCAAAAATTTTAAAATATGTAACACACAGGGAAGTTTAGTGGAGACTTGGTCGATGTTTGTTAAGACCTAAAAATGCCATATTTTTATTGTTTTAAGCAAAAATTGCCTTGCCCATCAGATTATTTATTTGACAGTGGCAGCTTCAGTACATGTGGATCAGCAGCATTGCTGTTCCATAGTGTGATTTGTAAGAGAAATCATAATTCTTACATCAACACAGTGTGAAGTAAATGAAGTTTGGAGGTACATAGGGGTGTGTTGTTCACATGCTGTTATTGGAAAAAAATGATTGTCATATTAATGATGGCTGCATTTGGCTTTGGAATTACATCTCCAAGGGGCTGTTCCTGTCAACAGAAATAAGACTGGGGAGAAATCAAGAACAGCAACAATATTCTGTGAGAAGATTCCTTGATGTTTTAATAGAAATTAATCAGTTTTTAAAATCTGATAATAGGGTGCATTTTTTTTTTTTCTTACTCTTCTCTGAAACCTGTTAGTAACACAGACAGATGCATAGCTCCAGATACTAAAATGGCTTAAGTATTCATTGCATTTAATCCTGGGGAGAGTAAGTTCCCTCATGAGGAATTCCCTTTGAACTAATCTATTTCTGGCATGACTGTTAGCAGGTAAACATGTGCTAGGAGGTGACTCTGCAGACAGAATTGTTCATGCCAAGGATCAAACTTTTGATGTACAGCAGTGTTGCAGAGAGCTGATTTACAGGTTCTTTTTCATGTGCACACATATATATAATTGGACTTTCTGTAGCTAGTAAAGAATAACTGTAATCAGTCACGAAGACAGGCTGAGGAAGTTGGGGCTGTTCAGCCTGGAGAAGAGAAGGCTGCATAGAGACCTGGAGAGGGACTCTTCATTAGAGACTGTAGTAACAGGACAAGGGGTAACGGGTTAAAACTTAAACAAGGGAAGTTTAAGTTGGATATAAGAAGGAAATTCTTTCCTGTTAGTGTGGTGAGGCACTGGAATGGGTTGCCCAGGGAGGTTGTGAATGCTCCATCCCTGGCAGTGTTCAAGACCAGGTTGGATGAGGCCTTGGGTGATATGATTTAGCGTAGGGTGTCCCACGGCAGCCCACAGCAGGGGGTTGGAACTAGATGATCTTAAGGTCCTTTCCAACCCTAACGATTCTATGATTCTATGATTCTATGCCTTTATCCTTCCTGGGACAGCTTTAGACTTTGCAAATGTGGACAATGCCATTTTAATTTCAGCTGGCAGTGTGATCATCAAAGTTGTGGCAAAGTGTTAGAAACATACATTTCTGTGTACAGAGGACTTTGTAATACATAATTCTGTTGGTAATTAAAAATTGCCTGCTTGTTCCCACCATCAACACCATTTCTGTACCTTAATTCTCAGAAATGACAGGGTGCAATTTACTGTTTAATATGAGAAATGAGAGGAAACCCATAGTACTACATAGATACTATTGTTTACTCATCCAGCCCAACAATATGTATAATATTTCACATGGTGAGAACAAATGAGTCTTCAGCTTCATACAGTCAGCCAAGTTTATCATGTTTATAATTCTGTCTTCAACACTTCATGCCCTTCACTTAGCTAATTCCCCAAATGCTCCGTATTCGTCTTTTGGTCTGTGTGGGTTATAATCTTTAGATTTTGTTTAAGCAAGCAGGCAATCTGCCTCCCTCCTTATATGAGTTTTCTGAAGACTTCTGTTCAATAACACACAGTCAAGCTCTGCATCAGATAATCGTAAGAGTAAGAAAGATACAGAACAGCTTTCAGTATGGGGACCAGAGCCGTGAGGCATTTAATTGTTAGGAGATGCTGGGGGTAAAGTTTTATTATTTGTTTGAAGGCTCAATAAGGTGACATATTACCCATTTTTGAAAGGAATAACTTATTCTCCTTACATCGATAAACTGCTGGGGGTTTTGCTTCATTTTTCCCTTTTCCGAGGAAGTCTTTGGGAGATCTGTGCATGCATGTCCACATATTTATTTAAAATGAACATTGCTCTTGTCACTTCAATAGATAAGAACATGGCTAAGATGCAGATTAGTCCTTGAATTTTTCAGAAGTTACAAGAGTAAAGTTTGTGATGCTTTATGTATATGGTGCTGCCATTAAGTTAAACTTGCAGAGAGAACTTTCATTTTGTTTTGTCAAAGAATGGCTTTATTTAGCTTCCTTGGGAACATTCAGAAGTAGAGATGCTGGGCTGGAGTTTGCAGCTCTGCATTCTTTCCCTTAGCTTTAAATCCCACAAAGCTCACTGTACAAATGTCTGATGCCTGTCACCTAGGGAGAGCATGTACTTCTCCATGAAATTTCTTGGGGATTATTGATAGCTGTCTGCGGAATTCTTTAAAAAAAATAGTGTTTGTTCATTAATGCAGTAAAGTAATGCCAAGAAGAGTTACTATTCACTTCCTTTGATGCACAGTCACTGATACGACATGTGCCCTTTCAGTGCCTTCTGCACAATCCAAGTGGAGCACTGGGAGAGCTAATATGAAGTACTGGTTGCAGTATCAACCTACTAAGATCATGGCTTTCCTTGTGGAAAATGAAATTTTGTGGATACCTGCCTTTATTTCCAGTGGCATGGTTCCATACCTAAAATGATCCTATTGCTGGGATGCTCCTTAGGTAGGCAGCTGAACCTGCAGCTCATTAGAAGCAGCTGGGGTCTGTTAGCATGCTCACCTACCTGCCAACAACAACTAGTAATATTTGAAGGTGATTCCCTGGTTTGGTTCTCTGTGCCTCTTTCTGTAAGGCTAAGGATCTGAATAATTATTCAGTGAAAATTTTCTACACCTCACATGCTAGGATAGTTCTGTAGCTAAAACCCACAGGCTTTTGAAGTAGCAGATGTCTCTTGCCCTCTTAGTGGTGTACTCTTAAGAAACCAAACCTGTGTGAAATAGTTTCTTTAAGGTTTTGAAGTGTACTGTAGTTTCATCTTAAAGAAGCCATGAGCCTGGATACACTGATGCTGGGAGAGATGATTTTCTATTTTTCTATCAGTTCTTCTCATGTATTACAGTCTCAAAAAGAGGACTTTCAGGGGAAATATTTTCTTTTTAAAAACATGATAGTTTCAACTTCTTCAAAAAAGCCTTGCTAGGCATTTGTTATTAGTTTTAGTTTTCACGTACTTTGTGATTAGTTTTACTTTGTTATTAGTTTTACATTTTCACGTACTTTGTGGCATTTAGGTGAAATGTACAACACTAAAATTTCAGGCATCCATTACTACTTCTAAATTTAGAAAAAAAGAACCAGCCCACATCGTTAAGCAGTTTCTACTTACCTCTGTAACCAATCAGCAGAATTGGATTTTAAACATAGTGGTTGTTTTAATAAATTACTTCTTCAGTGCTGTGAAATACAGTTCTTCAATGAATGTTCTAAGAAGTTAGAAGAATTCTCTGGCTTTGGGAAAAATGGCTTATCTCTAAAATCCTTTGTTTCTTCAAGCAGGATAATTTAGCAATTTAAAACTATTCCAACTATGAAAAAAAAAGGAGCTGAATGGGATCTTACTTACCATGTGTGAATAGTTCTGCAGAAGTACATGCTTGCAGAAGTACATAGTTCTGCAGAAGTACACCTTGGAAAGATGGGTTCCTGGGAAAACTCAGAATGAGATCCTGTAGAACTGTGGTATTGTTCTGAATTAAATATGAAGGGTTTTGTTTTGTTTTGGTTTTGGTTTTTTTTTTATTATAAGCATACAACAAGATTTGTTGAAACTGCAGAGCTTTAATTTAATTTAATTTATTTATAAGTATTTCAGTCTAAAAATATGCGCTTCCAGTTGTTTTATATTAAGCTAAGTTGTTTAGCAACATATCAAAACAATTCCATGAAAAGAGCACTGTATTTTTTTATTAATCCCATAGGCATCTTTTGCAAATGTTTTTGTGCTATAAATGATTGCAGTGAGGCATTAAAGCACATGCATAGCACAGAATTCTCCCTGTATATCCTTCTTACCCTTCAAGTTAGGTTTTAATACCAACCTGATAGCAGGGTTTACAGAATTGTGTGTACTTGGTCCAGGGTGCTATTACAGATATTTAGTACCAATCCCTGCTGAAGCATTTCACATAGTCTTCTTTCTCCAGTAATAATTTAAATCTGTTTTAAATCTGTGTTCTGCACATCCCATGCTTTTCTGTCTGTTAAAACTGGCTGTAAAAGAGTTACAGGGAAGCAGTGTTAAAGCCACTGTAATATTTCTTTCAGGAATTACAGCGGAAGTTATAGTGGTAGCTTCTTTTGATGAACTTCACAAAAGAGCTCAGGAGGCCAAGGGGAAGATTGTTGTCTACAACGAACCTTTCATCAGTTATGGTGAAACTGTGCGATACAGATCACAAGGAGCAGTTGAGGCTGCTAAAGTCGGAGCAGTCGCATCACTCATTAGATCCATTGCATCTTTTTCTATTCATAGGTAAGTATTTTTCTTGTTTCTCCCTGTGACTCATGTTTCAGCCTTTAGTTCACGTGTGGTTTCTGGGCAGGCAGTTCTGTTCTCTGAGACTTAAATGTTGCCAGTTAGGAGTGGGTGTTCGGTTGTGAAACTGTTGGCTGCACAGTAATTTTTTCCCCTGTGCTTTGTCATTCTTTCAAAATGTTTTCATTTTTTGTTGCTGATTCAAATTTTATGTATTTATTTTAAAGAACTTCCTGCTTTCTCAAGGCTGCCATAAATATTCTGAGATCAACCACAATCGAATGTCTTTGGTGACGCCATGTACTAGACTTTGAGTGATGATGTGAACTGGTCATTCTGTATATTTAACTAGAATGTAAGTGCACAGGTTTTATTGTATTGGTCATTTTTCTAGTATGAGTTCAACTTGTACTAGATGAAGGAGTAGTCTGCTTTGAACATAATAATTTAGAACAGTTTAGCAGTAAGGATTGTAATTCTCACAATTCTTTTGAAGTGAGGTATAATGATTTTTATTTATTTCTTTTTTTAATTCAAGTATTTTTAGGTGTCTTAGTACATTATTTTATTTGTCCTATATAATGTTACATTCCTTTTTTAGTTTTCTGGTTGGTAACAGAATTCTGTATTTTATCTGGAGTTTTTTTTTCCAACTCTGATCGTTTACACTTAAAATGCTCATCCATTGTGAGGAAGACAAGCTGAGGCATAGAGAGGAAACGAAAAAGAGTTCAGGTATAAAGGTACAGGCTGTTTGTTCCTCCCCTTGCTGCCTAATTCCCTGCCCACGGAAGAGTCATCGGCAGCAACCACGGTGTCCCTGAATGTGAGCTACACCATAAACTGAAATTGTTTTCTATTTAGATAACAACATGATTTCTTTTTGATCTCTGCTCCTAGGTTTTCTTTCTACAGAAGTCTAGGCTGGTAGGTGGGAAAAGCTGGAATAGTTTTGGATCTTTCTTGAGGATGAGACTGGGAAGCGGCTTGGACAGGCACTTGGAAGCATGCTTGCTGCCACCATTTCAGACAGAACATAAGTATTCGTATCTCAGAAGTAGAAGTGTGCAAACATCACTATTTCTGATCTTTCAGAAAGACTGAGAAATGCAGTAATGCTAACTAACTGTATTGTGTCATGCGCAGAGGACAGCTTTACTGCCAGTGTAGTTGATAGTGATGTAGCTGGTGTTCCATATTCCCCTAAAGAAGCCAACATTACCTGTTTAAAATGCTTTCTCAAAAATAAAATATTTTGAATTCAGATACTATCCAAACTATACTAGCCTATTTCTTAATGCCCAACAAATGTGCTATTTACGATATATTTTCTAATACTTAAAATTTTATAATAAAGTTCACAATAATGAACAGATAGAGTAGGTTTCAAAAATAATTTTATGAAAAATGATATGTTTTCAAAATAGTCTTATAAGTATCATCTGTTGATTATCTGAAACCCAGAAAATTATTTATCCCGTCTTTAGCTCTGGTGCCCTGCAGAGGTGTTCATTTGAAAGCAACACTTTGTTATCATCTTCTGCTTGCTTGACTATTTATGGAAGTACATTTTAACATGTAATGGAAAATTTAGAGATGAGGAACAGAGGTGGAGACTGAAGGTAATAAAGCCTGTTTATTACGTCTGGGTACTGGCATTACAGCTATTTCAGAATTGAATGAAAAGAGAGGAGAAACAGATGCCAAATGTGTGTTTGTTTAGAAGTATTGAATCCCTAATTGAGGCTGGGAGCTGAGGTGTCATTCCCAAAAGCAATTTCAAATTCAGATGCTGCCAGGAAGCGTTTTTTCGTTAAATGTACTTTCTGTTCTTTCTTCGTTTACATTCAATTAGGGTTTTTTGGGGGTCTTTGAGGGACTGGTTAATCTATTTTTTCCTATAATAAGGGAGGTGTTCAGGTCCAGTCTGTTATTTCTGCCACTCCATAATGCCTAGATCCATTTGTCTTGTTTCTAACAGAAAATAGGTATTGCTGTAGGCAGGGTGGATTTTCTTATCTCCATGCCTTCTCCTGTGTTTTCTCTTAATCACCAGCTCTGTGGCTTCCTGTCTGTCCTACCAGTGTGCTGTGCTGGATGGGGTGTTTCCTGTCAGTCAGTGTCTGCAGCACTGTTCAAGACACTTGCATTTTTGATTGACTGATGGAAAATACTGTTGCTGCAGGGAGTAGTGTGTTAGAAGGGCAAGAGATGAAAGGTAAAAAGCTGGTAAAAGACTTCTAAAAGTTGTGAAAGAAAGTCTTAAATTCTTACAATTTTTATACTACTGCTTTGTTGACCAGAACCTTTACTTCTCGGGCCTGTGTGTTTACATGTGCACCCATAACATGCATAACTGGTAATGGGATTGTAGCAGTTTCCCAAAACTTCCTGGAAACATCTTAGAAGAAAGTATGCTCCTGATAGTGCACTATCCCACTTTCATCAGGTGAACAGAGTGGAAATTCACAGTTTTGTCTAAACTGCATCAGCTTCAGTGTTGAGTGTGTTGATTGTGGGTTTTGGTTTTGTTTGTTTTTTTTAAGATTTCAACCTTTTGGACAGAGGGTTGCTTATTGTTATTTACTTACTCTATTTACAATAAATTAAGCTGGCTGGAACAATGGAAGCCACATTGTGGTGTGATTTCTAGGTGATCTTGCAATTTGAACAATATTAATAGGTTAAAGCTAGGTACTATAGTCGATAAACATCTTAGGCTTATTAGGGCTGATTATTAAAGCTTACTGACAATACAGAATATGTAAAATCGCAAAGTGAATTAAATCAGTGTTCTCTTGCTGGTGCTCAGAGACTGCTTAGTGATTGGACAGCTGAGGATTTTGGGATGTTCACTTCAAAAGCTCATTCTTTATTCAAACAAGAAGGCTAATATGGACATAGCATGTGAGACCTTTAAGAAAGTCACATTATCTGGGCAATAATTTAAACTGTTTATGGTGTAATTTCTATTGTAGTGGCCAGAGATGTGTCCCCTGTGATACAGAGATTCGTGTCATCAGCACAAGTTGTGGCTCTCAATTATCAAATGGCAATTCCAAGGTGGAGCGCAGGGACATAAATGAGGCTTTCTGTAAGTCAGGGAAGACAAACTCAGGGATATTCACTGCATTTCAGTCAAGTAGGTTGCCTTGATGCTGATACATACATAAAATCAAATGTTGTTGTTATTATTGAAGATAGAAATGGCTAAACCAGATTGCCTTTTTGTCAAAACAAAAAAGGCACCAGGAAAGATTTGGTTTGAAGGGAAAAAGTTACTGGATTAAGGTTCCAGAAATAATGTTTTCCAAAGGATGTCTGGGGCACAGGACATTTTTCTGAGTGTAGAAGTAAAGCATTTCTGCATTCCTTGAGTAGAATAACGTCCTACAGTATGGGGTTTTTTCTTTTTTTTTTTTTTTTCCATTTCATGTGACAGTGCTAAGCTGGTGTCTGAAATTTTCATTGATTGCTATGTTCTTTTGTCCTGGTGCATGCTATTATGAGCAGTGCCACCACTCCTTCTTCCAGAGAAGTACTTCTTGTTGGAGGTACTGAAAATAGTTTGCCTGTATTATGTGTGCATCTGATGCCTTCATTTATTACTTGAGAAACCTTTGGTCATTACCATCTTCCGGTGACAGAGTACCTGTTATTATTATTGTCTTGTTTTTTAAGTGCTTTTTTTTTCTCCCTAGCATGTGAGTTTTATGCACACAGGGTGAAGTGGTAAATATATGTGTTGAGGATTTATTTCCTTTCAGTGGGGAGGAGAATGCAGTTATGGTGAAGGTAGTTTAGAACTGATCTCTGACGGACTTGGAAAAGTGATAAACCTAATTCTCCCTTGCTTGATATTCTGCATGCTCTGTTTTGACACTGCAAAATTGTTATAATCCTGAGCAGGCAGCATCTTCTGTCTGCTTTGCATAGGCTTGGGAAATGCATGAAGCATAAAGGCAGCAGGAAGCTGGATGATAATTGTAGAGATGCAACAGTAATGCTGTAGCATGACAGAAAAAAATCAGGAAGAACCACTGGTTATTTATGAACGCTTTTCACTTATGGGATTAGTATATTGGCAAGAAATGTTCATAGGAAGCATCTCAACAAGAGTCTGTCCTAAGGCAGTATCCTGTGGCAATAGGATGCAGCCATACTGTTTTCTGTTCTACTAAGGGACAAAGAAACAATGATAAAACCCTTTTTTATGGTGTGAGAAGCAGAAATAAGAGCAGACCATGTTTTATAAATCTCTGGTGAGCTTGTGGAAGATCCTAGTTATGTTTCATAGTGTTGTGCATGTTGCCTTGCTGCCCTTAGAGATATGAATGTGTGTTCTGAGGGATTTATTTTCTTGCCCTGCACTTAGGGGCTTTCCCTCCAGGATGTCTGTTTATGTTGTTGACAGACAATTCATTATTTTTTACTTTGTTTCTTATGTTCCCTGAAGGCCAACATGCCAGACTGCATTCTAGAGTGCAGTTTTTATGCTCACTTTTGGGCAAATCCTGGCTGTCAGCAAGAGAACTTGGATGTCCTTAGAAGAAACGGAGCCTGTGCTTTAGGAGATAATCATATTGTACAGTGGGTTTTTGCTATCTGATCAGTGATTACAGAAGTCAAATTTCAGATAACTTCATAATAGTGAGAAATCTGTAGATAATGTTTCTTAACTCCTAATCTTTCTTTGGCTTTTACCAAACCTTTTACCTCTTTTTGCTTTGAACTGCATGAATCTGTTATTTTCCAGTAGACAGGACTTGGTGTTACAAGTGAAACCTCTGGGTAATTTGAGACACCCACATATTGTTTGCTTACAAAGTCAGTAAAATGCTGATAAGACTAACAAAGGCTTTCTCTTCTACCTTCTGGTTTTGACTACTCCCTGTATATATGTTCATGTAACTGAAAAGTTTCCTCCATTTAATATCGAATAATATATGGAGTGTTCTGTAACTTTCTTAGCAGCAGGTAAAGGGCTAGTAAAATCT